ACACATCCCCCTTCGACACCATCGTGTCTCTCGCCGCGCAACGCCCCCTAAACGAATACGGCTCGAACCGGCCCGGCACCAGGCAAGACGATTTATCTCGCGTGAGGCGTCACGTTGCTTATCTGGAACTTGCACAAATGAGTCGCGACGTCGAGTTGGATCGTATACCCACTAAATATCGAGCAAAACAACAGGCCCGACGCACACACACTCGCACACTACCTTTAACTAAACTATATCAGCGAGTTTAGTTTCACCTGTCAGCTCGTGCTCTCTTTGTCTCTCTTATTGCAAATGTTATTCTCATTCGTTCTCGGTGTTGCTCTCCCCCTACCTCCCGTTCTCACTAGTTGGCATGACTTTGCGAATTCATTAGAGCCCGGCCATAGAGATTAGGCACTACATGTGACCGACCGACCATCCAAAGTAGTTGTTCCACAGTATTTCACAGGCGTCGCCCAAACATTATCAAATTACGTATAGTTCACAATTACAGTCACAATGACAAGGCTGTTGAAAAGGGAAAAACTATCATGATCATTCAAATGAATGCTAGTAAACAACAATGTTGAATGGATTCACATATTTCACATATGACGAAATAATTGATTTCATGAAGAGTCTGATAAAAATAAACGATATTGAAAAATTAAAAAAAAAACAATAAAAACATATTTTAAGTTATTTAAAGAAGAAAACTTTAGCTATTATATCATACATATAATATGGATAAAAAAACTAATCTTCTCTCAAAGATTAAAACAAATTCTGCTATATCAAGCAACAAGATTTTGTTAAGAGTTAAAATCGAGCAACATTTAAATATTAATCAGCTTTGAACTTAACTCTAAACTAACTAATATCATTTGCAATCGCAGACCATTTTCTTCATCAACAAAAAAAAAAATAAAGCCTCGTTAAGTCTGCATAAATTTGTTTACATTTTTGCATAAAATTTGGATAAACTCACCTGTTTTGCTTGGATTGAGAACATCAAGATTCCAGCTATAGAATGTTGCAGACTGATTCATAATGTTCAAAATAAAATCGGTGACATCTAAATCGATGAAGGTTCTTAAACAAAGAAATAATATAGCTTTCGAATTGTTACTAGTCCATAAAGTTGCCCATGAGAAGTGCAAAATTGTGTTTAATTTGAAGGAAACACCTGGCTTTTACTCTCGCATATATACATACATCATCCGAGTTGACAATATCTATAAAGCTGCGAGTTCTAACGAACTACTCGAACTATTTGTGGAATATATGAAATATTCATATAGCTGCCATTTCCAGCGAAATATTCACGTCTGGCTTGTGACTAAGTTGTTCAGTAATCCATGAGTCGCTTGTTTTGATGTTTTCTCTAACAAATTCTTACATCATCGCAGTTCAAATTTAAGATTCGATAAAAAATATTTTAAAAAAAACAAGAGATTGCTCCGGTTGGCAGTGCCTGGCCAGAAGATACCCTAAAACGCACGCATGCTGTTTTGGAAAAATAAAAAAACCTGATCTACTATCATCCCTCCTTTAATCCATTTCCAATGGACTCATATGCTCATGCCGGGATTCGAACTCGTGCCCCCCGTCTGTCGAACACGAACTATGTGCAATCGCCTCAAACCTTACCGATTCGATAAATAATGCAGAATCGGGAGGCTGGAAAGTACCTGATCTGTGAATACTTAAAAAGAAAACTGGATGGGGGGAATTTTCAAGTCTTCATTTCTTATAGGTTCTGATATTGACACGTACATAAATCCGAGCATACGAATCAGAGTTTTAGTTGTATGTATATAATTTATGGAGTGTCTGTTACATACATTGGCACACAACCAGCATACCCTGTTTAGTTCAGGGTATAACAAATAAAATTAGCCTAAGGATTTGTCGAAGCGTTAAACATAATTATTAACTCGCTTGTTGTGATTGGTCTGAAAGAAATGTTAACTTTGTGGTTTTATTCAATTTTGTTGCTAATCTTTTGTTCAATGTGTGCGTGTAGACAATCAAAGAAATACAACAAAAAACTATATAAAAAAAAAAAAAACTTGCCCATTGGCGGATTTGGAGCATAAGAAATATTTCATGCATTGCTACGCTTTGGTTTTTGTTGTTGTTGTTGTTGTTGTTGTTGTTGTTGTTGTTGTTGTTGTTGTTGTTGTCACTGCTGCTCTTAACTGGTCTGGCAACTTTGGTCGGATTGGAATGTTGTTGCCTTTTGGAAGCCGCAGCGCAGAGTGGCAATTGTTGTTGTTGTAGCTGTTGCCGTTATTGCCAGCGTCAATGCCGTCGTTAACGTTGTTGTTATTGTTAATTTAAGCTAGCATTTTTTGCTATTGCTGTTGTTATTGCTGCAACAATGAGTCAGAAGCATTTAAGCGGCAGCAGCAGCCGTTCGATTGGCGTCATTCGCCAATGCTTTGACGTCGCTGCCAACTGCTGCGCGTGCGTAGTAAATGCAATTACACAAAAAAAAGTTATTAGAGGCGCATGCCCTTAAGCCATTGTAGCTGTAAATGAAAAATGAAAAAATACAGTAATCAGGTGAATAACAGCAAAACAAATGATGGTTAAGCGTGCCAATAGCAGTTCTCAACATTTAATGAGCGCGTGCACGGTGGCGCCTGTGGCCGAGTTTAACAAAATTAAACAATGATAAAAAAAATTGCCAAGTGGGAGCGTCTGTTCATATTCCACGTGTGTGTGAGTGTCTCTGTTAACCAACTCTGTTGTATTTCGCTGTCAAAGTTAGACGGAAATGTTGCGCGTTTTTTTCACCTGATAGTAAAAAAAAAAAAAACAAATTTGTGAAATTGGGTCAGCCTGCCAGCAACATTGTTGTTATACAGTTTGATGGGCACAAAGCGAGCTGCTTGCTCTCTCGCGCGCGCTCTCTGTGCTCATGTGCGTGTGTGTGTGTGTAACTGAAAAGAGTTGAACAGTTTGAGAGCTAGCCGCATAGCTTATGCGAACCGCTGTGGCTCCCCAACTGTGCGGCGATGTATCGTTTGATTGCGAAGAGCGAGCAAAATAAGAAGTAAAAATAAAAAAAAAAGAAGAAAAATAGCATTGGGAGAGCGAGCAGTAGTGCGAGTGCGGCAGGTGTCATGGCGTTCCGACAAAAGGTAACCTGCAGTGGGCAGCTTCGCATTTTTTATTTAGATTTTGTTATTGTCTTTGCCATATGCTTTTCATTTGTTTCTTTTTTTTTTGAATAAACACATTTATTTAATGCATTTTAATTATTTCAGTTATATTTTGCTTTTGCTTTTTCTCTTATTATTTATGGAGGCTTTAAGTGCGACCGTGGGCCGTCCGGGCTGACAATTATAGTGTATTATATTTACTGCGCAATAAAAGAAAAAACAACAAGAACAACAAATAATAATAAAGCATAATAAAGCAAGCGACCGCCGCAGCATTAGCTATGAGAGCGCGAGAGAGAATGGTGTGTGCGTGAGTACAAACGAGAGCGAGTCAGAGAGAGAAAGAGACAGAGAGATGGTTGTTGTTGTTGTTCATTTTATGGGAAACAAAAACAATTTGCAATTCGCTGACAAGCCCACAAGAACAAAACTCTAATAGTACTTGTACATGTACATATGTATTTGTGCATACACATGAATAAATACATATGCATGCGTGCGTGCGTGCGTGAGTGTGCGTGAGTACGTTTAAACTACGCAGCAGCATTTTTACTACTGCACAACAAAAAAAAAAAAAAAAAAAACAAAAACTAAAAACTACAACAACTAGAGGCGGGTGGTGTGCCCCGCTTCCTCCTTTGCCAGCTCTTACAATATTTTTTCTCTGTTTTGTTGCCACGTTTTGCGCTCAGCCGCTCTCACACCGCTGACAACGCAGCCGCATTTTGTTTTTATTACGCCCCAAAAACCGGCAACACCCTGTGTGAGACACATGGGAAGAGGGTGGGCAGCGTCAAGTTGATGAATTACAACGTAGTTGTAAATACGCTACGCACACTTTTTTCTTCGTTTTTCTTTTTTACTATTTACTACGCTTTTACAATTGCTGCGCTGCTGGCGTCGCCGCCACTGTAGCAGTCTCTCGCCTGGCTTTAACGTCAGTGCGGCGACGGCCGCGCGTCATGCAAACAAACGTCAATGCTGTTTGGGCAGCAGCAACAGCAGCAATAGCAACAGCAACAGCAGCAAAAACAATTTTGATAAACACTTTTATTTATTCTTGTTTCTTTTTCTGCATAAAATTATTGCCATTGTGTGTGTATAATTGTCGTTGTATTGGTGCTGTCGGCGTCGATGTTTAGCAGAACTCTGCTGCTTAATTGAGCAATGCGACAGCACATTAGCATATATATGTACATAAGTATGTATTAAAAAGTTGGCGTGAGCTCGTCAGATTGTTCTCTCAAAATAGAATGAGAGTATGGGAGTAATGGGAGGCATGATTTAATGCCATGAAAAGCCGCTTAACCCCATACACATAAATTATATACATATATATATCTAGTTAACATAAATGTAATGCAAATGTTATTCGAATGTGGTGAGGTGGCTAATGTTATTTAAAAGCTGTTAATCCATATGTGTGTATGTAAATATGAATTCAATTATTTTGTTGCATTATTTAACATCATGCGCTATGTAACTCGTGCTGTATACATGTAAAGCAAATGTTATTCGAATGTAGTGCGAAAGCTGTAGCCACATGTATAAAATAAATTATTTATTGCGTTCATTTAATGACGAATGCTAGTGTACTCGTGTTTGTGTGTATATTTGGTCACGCTAAAGCGATAACGCAACGTCAGCGTCGACGCAGACGCTGACAAGGCACGTGTATCAAGCACTTGGCGCCCTTTTTCACATAAAATTATTGTTATTGCCTGTCGCTGTGGAACTTACGTACATACATACATACACACATACGTACGCTGTTGTTATTTTACCGCTCTGCTGTTTGTAAAATAAAATTAACAAAAACATTTGCACTTTTTTTTATTTTCATTACAGTTTCGACCAGCCGAGTAAAAACAACAACAACAACAACAACGACGACAACAAAAAGCATTCCAACTGACGAAGATAAATACAAAACACTACAAGTCTGAGAACACAACTGGTGTATGTGTGTGTGTATGTGTGAGGAAGAGAGAGCGAGAGAGAGAAAGAGAGGGCTAGCGAGCGTGCAAGCGTGCAAGCGAGAGCTGCAATGATCACTTAGTGGGCCGGCGCCCCTAATTAAATAATTAATAATAAAAACAATTTTTTTTAATTTAATTAAAATATCAACAAAGCAAGAAAAACAATGGAATCAACAATAATAACATTTTTCAATGGATATGTTTACTTACGTATTCCTGAGGAAAAGCTGCCAATGCCAATAGCAAACACAAATCAAAGCGATAGTGCATGTTTGACCCTTACGAGAACAACAACAACAACAACAACAAAGCGAAAAAGAAGAATATCTATGCTCTTTGATAGTAAACCGATTCCGAGTAAACACAATTGTGAATTGCGCGAAACGCTAGCTCCCGGCAACATGATGCAGAAATCCAGTTGCAGTGCAACAGCAACAAAAACAAAAACAAAAACATTAACAACTGATAAGGTATTAGAAACAACAAAAACAAGGCCAGCATCATTGTCAACAACAACAACAACAACTAGAGCAACAACAACGCATGGAAACATTTGTGTTGTATGCCGACAAGTGTTCGCAACAACAACATGTTCCTGCATTCAGACAGCAACAAGCAGCAGTTCCTATGCAGACAGCAGCAGCTGTAGCAGCCAGCGCAGAAGCAAAAACAGAAACAGTAGCAGTAACAGTAACAGTAACAGTAACAGCGGCGCAACATCCACCACATTCCCCAGCAAACTGTCGTCGGCGCAACATTGCCGCTGTCTGCAACAACAGCAGCAACATCTGCAGCACCAGCAACATGTTGGCAGCGTCGCGCATATATGTTGCTGTGCAAATAGTAGTAGTAGTCGAAGAAATAGTAGTAGTAGTAGTAGTAATAGTACAAATGACAATAACCAAAAAGTAGCAGCAACAACAGCCAATTGCCACTGCAACAGCAACAACAAAAACAACAATATTAAAAGCCACATCCATAAAAAGCAACGACTGCAGCAACACTTTAACATTTACAGCAATTGCTTAAGCCTTTTGGCCACACTGCAATTGTTATTTCTGTTTGTGCAAAAACAAATGCTGATGCTACATTGTCGCAATCTATTCAAAAGACGCCGAAGACAACAAATACAGCCACAGCATCAACATCAACAGCAGCAGCAGCAACAACAGCAACAACTAGTACGACGAGTATATCCGAAATACAGTTATCATCAGGAACAACATCATCAATGGCGCCACCAAAGCATAGCGTATACAATACTCGCTCTGTTAACATTGCATGCGACAACAACAATTGCGTTGCATCCGCCGCCCACGCAATACGATCAACAGCAGCAACATCAACAGCGAGCTACATTAACAGCGAAGCGTAGCTTTGAATACAGTTTGGCCTCTCTGACAGGCCAGGCGCGTAACATCGGGGGTGGCGTTAACAGCAACAGTAACATTAACAGGGATGTACGATTGGCGCGCAGGGAAATGCGTAAGTCCGGCAGCACTGGTTGTTGTACATTTTTAGAAACTTGCAGAGGATATTATAATTTGAACGCGAAATGTGCATACGACGTCAGAAAGTATGTATATGTATGTTTGATGAGTATTTAGGTCCGTGTCCTTATAATCATGTCCGTATGTGTCCAAAGAAATCTTTTAGTATTCATGGGTTTTTCTTCCAGCAGAAAGTTTATTTGCAGGGATCGGACAAGTATATCCTCTAGCTGCCATTTAAATGAGTTCTAGTATTTGAAACACTTGAAGATATTTAAATTTTTCGTTATTACAAGCTTTATACATTTTGTTTTGCAAGATATCTTCACTAATTATTTGGCATTATGAGCTTGACAATGTTCCTAACATATGTGCGAAATCTGTTAAATCTTTATCAGACCACTTTGTTTAAAAGCTCTCGGTCGGAAATCAAATATTTAAATCAAAATCCTTTTCAATTATAAATCTGCAAGAGTATAAAAGCTTCGGCGCGCCGAAGTTAAAATGTTACCTCTTATTAACGCAAGAGTGTGGATTTTGAAATACGTTTTGATTATAAATATATTCGATTGAACTTTTAAAACAGCCTGTAAATCAATGGATATACGCAACAATATTTCGGAACTGAGTCAGCTGGCGAACTGTACGATCATCGAAGGATTTTTGCTCATAACGCTGATCAACGATGCGGATAAGCTGAATACAACCTATCCGCTTCTCACTGAGGTCACCGGCTATATAATCGTTTATCGTGTACATAATCTGATATCGTTATCGCAAATCTTTCCCAATTTGAGCGTTATACGCGGTAATATACTCTTCGAGAGCTACGCTTTCATCGTATATCAGAACAAGGATCTGCTGGACATTGGACTGTCCAATCTGCGGGCCATTACCAATGGGGGCGTTCGCATCGAGAAGAACTACTATTTGTGTTTCGTGAAAACGGTCAACTGGCAGAAGATCGTGTCCAAAAATGCCACAGAGTCGGACATTGTGCTCAAGTTCAATCGCAATGAGGCGGAATGTGCACGCTGTCCGGGCGAAACGAATGGCGACGATACCCAGGATAGTACCATGACGGATGCCAGCGAATTGCCCGTCTGCAAGGTCCATCCGGACAACAAGCGCTACTGCTGGAGCAATCGTGCGTGCCAGACAAGTGAGTGGATCGATCTATGCAGAAGCAGTGCAGTCATTTATTGCCAAACGTTTGCCTTTCCTTGCAGTTTGTCCCAAGGAGTGCCCCTACAACTGCATCGATGAGAACACCTGCTGCAACGACTCCTGCCTGGGCAGCTGCTCAAAGCCAGTTCTGGGCGATTGTGTTGCCTGTCGCAACGTTTCCATTCATGGCGGCAATTGCATTAATCAGTGTCCTGATGGCTACTTTCTGGTATGTACCTCCAGCTCATTTTTTCATCTTCTTCAGTTAATATCTATAATTTTAATCCTCTTTCAGTACGAACAACGTTGCATTACGGCTGAGATGTGCGAACGGATGGGCACCAAATACGAAAGCAGCAAGGAGATGAAGCTGGTGCATTACAATGGCAAATGCACGACACGCTGCGAGAAGGGCTATTCCGCTATGAACAACACCTGCCAAAAGTGCAATGGCACCTGCCAGAAGCTGTGCCAGGGCGGCATCATTGACAGTCTGGTGCGAGCTAAGGAGTTCCATGGCTGCACTGTGATCGGCAATGACGGACTCACCATAAGCATCAAGCGTGGTGGACGTGAGTCTCTAAAGAACGATAGTGTAGCTCAGTCGCTTATTTAATGCTCCTTTACGCTTTGTTTCTTATAGCGCACATGGTTGATGCACTGGTTTCCGGTTTGGGCATGGTCCATACAATTAATTCATATCTGAAGGTGCATTTGACCTATGGCCTGACCACACTGGACTTTTTTAAGAGCCTGCGCCACATTAAAGGCGACAATTTGCTAGAGAGTCGGTATGCTCTGTACGTGCTGGAAAATCGGGATCTGGAGGCTATTTGGGCCGAAAATCAAACAGTCAGCATTAGCAAAGGCAGCATCTTCTTTCACTTCAATCCCAAACTTTGCATTGAGACCATCGATAAACTGAGACCGATGCTGCCCGGCAAACCGGAGAAGTTTAACAAAAACGAGGTAGCCGAGGATTCGAATGGCAACAAGGGCACATGTATGTCTATCACTAAGATTTACATTTCGCACAGATTTAATAACCAATCCATTTACACACACGCAGGCAATACGATATTGTTGAAAGTGAACATCAATAAAAGGGCCAGCACACTGGTTGTAATCAATATCACCACCACCGTGGAATTTGATGATGACCGTTCCTTCATAGGCTATCAGATCTATCACACATCCGATCCACATGGTAATGTCACCAGGGACAACTATCAACCCTGCTTGGATAGGTGCGTTAAAGATAATTGTAAAATTAATTAGAAACCACTAATACCTCTCACTTCACGCTGCAGCTGGATTGTGAGCGAACCGAGCAAGGAAACCTCGAGCTTTATCGGCAATCTGTTACCCTACACCAAATATGCATTCTATGTCCGCACCATGACCATTTCGTCGGAGAAGCGCAACTATCAGAGCGACATCATACGCTTCCAGACGATGCCCACAAAGCCGACGGATGTGCGCAGGATCAGTGCACGCTCCACAGACAGCTCGAAAATTGTGAGTATGATTCGGGTCTAAAAGTGTGTACGCTAGAGCTGGGCCCGGGTCGTGACACGAACCAGCACCAACCTGAACAAGATATGCCCGAAGAGAAAGAAACAATCAGTCAGCTAGCCTTAAAGCCATTAAAGATATTCATAACATTTTGTCTTGTGCAGTGTTGGAAAAGTGTCCGAAATTTGGCACACTCTAGAGTAGTCCATTGTAAATTATATTGTATTTTCCTTATCACTTTACAGTTGCTGAGCTGGAAACCGCCGCTTAATGTGAATGGCAAGCTGGTTAAGTATCAGGTGCGCGCAGAGATCACACGGCGGGACGCTAAACTGGAACATCATCGTAACTTTTGCCGCGATCGTAAGTTACAGTCGAATTGTGGGAAGAACTGTTTTTAATTCACGTTTGAATGATTGCAGCTTTGCCGAATAGCTCTGACGACGAGGAGACATTCTCGTCACCCGCGGAAAAGACGATTATGGAGACGCCAGGGTCTGACTGCAAGTGCGATGCGGGCGGTCGCAACGTGTTCGATCAGCAAGATGTTGAACAGAAAATCTTTGATGAAATCGAATTCGAGAATGCCCTCCAGAACTTTCTGTATGTATCGAAGAAGCGCGACAAAGTGCAGCAATTGGAGAATGAGGTCGCGCTCAGCGACAACAGCATCGATGGCACCGGCTCTTTTGGCAGTCCGAACGCTCTGCAACGCAGGCGCAGGCGATACATTGAAGTGGACGAGGATGAGCAGAATATTGGCAGCGTTCTGATGCGGCAAATCGGCCCTGCTAAACTGGATGACGCCAGAAAGTTCGAGAGTGAGCGTCCAAAACCAAATGGCACGGCAGACAGTTCTATGGAGGGCTGGTCGAATATGACAGTTATGGATGAGAGCAAATCCTACTACAGGATCTTCTCCGCCGAGGTGGATGCCAACACGACCGAATTTCAGTTCGAGAAATTGCGACATTTCTCCCTCTATTCGCTGTCGGTGCGCGCATGCCGGGAAAGGGAGGGCGTTAATGACACCGCTGATGTGTGCAGCGATGCCGAACCCTGGGAGAAGCGCACCCGAAAGTTGGGTAAGTACTCATTCAGTTAGCCATCTCAAGCATATATCAATCTAATCATCGGGTCATCCTACAGCTAATATGGACAAGGCATTTAATTTAACGGGCGAACTTCTGGGCAACCTTAACACCACACGGGGTAATGTGCGGCTGCGGTGGGAGGAGCCACTGGATCCGAACGGTGCGATCGTCTCCTACATAATCATCTATGAACGCCAGGAACGGGATGCCGTTGAGGAAAAACGATGCATCACAGTCCAGGACTATCTCAATCAGAGCGGCTACGTTGTGACAAATCTAAACGAGGGCAAATACAGCTTCCGCATAAGGGCCAATTCACTGGCCGGCGAGGGTGATCTTACGGACTTTGTCTATGTTACGGTGCCGGTGAGTAGTTCAGCTGTTAGACACAAAGTAGTCCATTGTTGGGATATCAGAGTAAACTACACAACAATCGTGTTTAATAACTTTTCTGCTCATTGTCCGATCGTATGTACCAAGAATCGGGTTTCTTACGATTCATTTCGTATGTATTATATTTACACGATATCTTTGTGTTATTGTGGCAACACCGAAATGGGAAATTCGCTTAAATTGAGTTTTTAGATGTCGTGAATTTCCCTATGAAAATCAAATTATTTTTAACTATTATTAAAAATCTGTCAAATTTTGATCAACCCTTACAGCCGCCCGGATTGTCGCCATTTGAATGGGCCGGATATGCTCTGATTGGATTCATGGGGATTGTAGTGTGCTTTTTGATCTATTACAAGTTCTTCCGTGCGAAGAAGGGACATCCGCGCGATTTGGTCATCAATACGGAAGTGAATCCATTTTATGCAAGCCTGCAATACGTGCCCGACGATTGGGAGGTGCCGAGAGAGCGCATCATTCAGCTGGGTCCACTGGGCCAGGGCTCCTTCGGCATGGTCTACGAAGGCATACTGAAGGCGCAAAACACCGGCGAGGATATACCGTGTGCGATCAAGACAGTGAACGAGAATGCCACCGATCGGGAGCGTACCAATTTCCTGAGCGAAGCGAGCGTGATGAAAGAGTTCGACACGTACCATGTGGTCAGGCTGCTGGGCGTCTGTTCGTGTGGACAGCCGGCCCTGGTCGTCATGGAGCTGATGAAAAAGGGCGATCTAAAGTCCTATTTGCGCGCCCATCGACCCGACGAACGGGAAGATGTGCTCGCTGTCTATCAGCAGCGCATAGGGCTCACCACCGGCACGGGAACAATAGCGGGTGCAGTGCAGCCGCCACCATACAGTCGCATCTTCCAGATGGCCATCGAAATAGCCGACGGCATGGCCTACCTGGCCGCCAAAAAGTTCGTCCATCGCGATCTGGCCGCACGCAATTGCATGGTTGCCGAAGATCTGACCGTGAAGATTGGCGACTTTGGCATGACCCGTGACATCTATGAGACAGACTACTATCGCAAGGGCACCAAGGGTCTGTTGCCAGTGCGCTGGATGCCGCCGGAGAGTTTGCGCGACGGCGTCTACGCGAGCTCCAGTGATGTGTTCAGCTATGGCGTTGTCCTCTGGGAAATGGCTACGCTCGCTTCACAGCCCTACCAGGGCCTGTCCAATGAGCAGGTGCTGCGCTATGTCATCGACGGTGGCATCATGGAAAGGCCCGACAATTGCCCGGAGGTGCTGCACAAGCTGATGCATCGCTGCTGGCATCATAGGCCCTCAGCGCGACCCTCATTCCTGGACATAATTGCTTATCTGGAGGGGCTCGCCCATCCGCACTTCAAGGAGGTGGCCTTCTACTATACCGATGCGGGTGTGCAGTACCGCGAAAAGGAGCGCAAGGAGCGCAATCAAATAGATGCCTTTGCGAGCGCTCATCTAGACGCCGATGTGGATGGCGAGGATGCCACAACGCCGTTGCGTGTGGGCGAATATGAGGGCTATAAGTCAAACATGGAGCACAACGAATCGGTTGAACAGCCAGCCGAGAGTCCCATTGCTCTGGTCGATGATCAGGCGACAACACACTCACCGTTTAGCATGCAGTCAGGCTATATAGTGAGTAGCACGCCGGATGCATCCTGCACACTGCCCACAGCTGGTGGCTCCCATTTGGAAGATGCGGCATATGTGCAACCGGATGCGGATGCGCCGTTAAATCAATACGGCGAACGCGGCTATGAGCTGTACGATCCGAGTCCAAACTTTGTGGAGCTGGTGCCCAGCAACAGCGGACGGCTCAGTGGTGAGCAGCATCTGCTCCCAAAAACGAAGCGCAGCGGCGGCGCCAGTATTATGCCCAACATGAGCAGCTCCATGCCGGACGAGGTAATTGGCGGTGGCGCCAGCGCCAGCGGCAGCGTTGTGACCAGCGGTGTTGTCTCCTCATCGCTGCAGCCCTCAACAGCCTCGGCAGCCAGTTCGAATGCGAGCAGCAGTCGTAATCCGAGCCTCAAACGTGTCGTCGCGGACACCTTGCGCAATCGCGTCGGCTACGGGCTGCTCAGTCGCTTCAATTTGAAGCGCGGCGACAGCAATGACAGCCACAAGAGCAACATCTCGAATGCGGCCAGCAGCAGCAGCAACTCAAATCTAACCAGTCATCCCGCCGGCATGGCCATGGTCTCAATGGGACCCAATTTGGGTACCATCGAAAGCGGTGGCAGCGGTAGCGCCGGCAGCTATGCGGGCACACCGCGTTTCTATACGCCCACAGCGACCACGCCCAGCGCTGGAGGCAACGGCAGCACAATAATCATGAGCGACAATTCCAATTACAAGCTGCTGGATGAGTCCGGGAACAGTGCGGATGCAGTAAATTCGTCGTGGCCCCAAAACAAGCTAACCACCAGCAGTCTGAATCCCAACTATGAGCTCATGCAGGCGCCCGCAGCGGAAACGGCGGCAACACCCTTCAGCATGATCAGCGACAATCCCAACTATGTTCTGATGAGCGAGCCAAAGACTACAACTGGACAGGGTCAGTCATTACCAGTCTTTACCAGCGATAATCCCAACTATGCGGCCATGACGGGCCCAGCGCAGGTGCAGCCCAGCAGCTCAGATCAAGACGAAAATGAGTAAATAATCTTGATAATTTCATTAAATATTTGAAAATATTTTATTTCAAATTTAAATTCGAATTCCAGCGATGAGGACGACGCCGATGAGCACACGGAGCACATTAAAATGGAGCGCATGCCGCTCAGTCGACAGAAGCAGCGGACGCGCATCAAGCCCCAACAGCAGCAGCAACAGCATCAGCAGCCGCGCAGTCGCAGTGTTAGTCAGACGCGCAAAGCAGAGACTTCGGCGCCAACGTCAGCAGCGACAGCAGCAGCAGCAGCAGTAGCAGCAGCAGCAGCTGCGTCGGCCGCTAAAACGTCCAATATACTCAAGGAAAATTGGCTGAGGCAGGCGAGCACGCCGAAGCCACCGCCGCCGAACGGTTTCATAGGACGCGAAGCGTAGAAGAGCGCAAGTGTCGTGAGAATTTTGTAAATACATACATGCATATGTATATGTATATGTATATGTAGCAATTAGTATAAAATATGTAGAAATATTAAACGGGGTGGGGCCGGGATACTCAAAGCCTGCAGCTTATAATTGCTTACAACTCGAATGGTATAAGAGAGCAATGCGCAGCATGAGCAGAGCTGATGCTAACATTAAGTATGCATGTTAGCTAACACTCTGTCCGATTAGTGCTAATGTTACCCCTAACATATGTAAATCATGCTTAACATTAAGGCCGCCAGCAAACTTTTGCCCACAGCCAAGCCTCCTTACAATTTATTATACACTTAAGCTTAATTTATATATGTTTTCGTATTTGTTAAGTATTTCTTTTATAATTTACTAGCGCCGTTTAAACACACACATACAACAAAAACAAAAACAACAACAACAACAACAAAACAAGTCCTAAATGCAAATAACAAAAGTACAAAAGCCAACAACAAACCAACCTAAGTACCGTTTACAACTAGACATAGACACAATACATGTGTATGTGTATGTATACGCATGCATGCATGCATACGCATGTGTATATACCTAACCTAACTTATGTATAATTAAAATAATTATTTTAGCACCTACCTAAAAAGCAAAACACGAAACGATGCAACAATGAAGCAAACTAACTGTACAACTACAAAACGAAACACAACAAAACAACAACAACAACAACAAAACAGCAGCAACAATAAGCAATACAACAAACAATATCTACACTGAGTTAATGTCCTTAAATTAGTTAGTTACTATTACCAACTTAAACAAAACCTTTAACTAGAATTTACATGTACTCAAACAATTTTTTATTTGTTTTTTTTTTTTTATATATTAATGGTAAATTGTGTTGCAATTTTTAATGCGTTTATGTTTAAGTGTTGTTTGTTTTATATACAAAAAAAAAAAAAAACAAGAAAAAAAAATTGAAAAAAAGCTGTCTGTAAATGAAACACAAAAAGAGTCGCGAGAGAAAAAAAGAGAAACATTCACTGATTTTATGCATGGCGCTTGGCAATTGGCAAAAGTTTGTGCTGAGAGAGAATAATTTATATATTACACACACGCATACACATAAACACACACACACACACACACACACACATGGAGACACGTGGAGCTTTAAATTGTGTTTGTTTCTTATCTAAATTAATTTCGGTTGAAGCCAAGCTTCAAATAACGCAATTGAGAGCTTAAATAACTGCTGCATAATTTACATATTTACATGCTAAACACATATTCACTTAAATATGTATGCTATATGCCACGCATTTTATTGTAACATAACTGTAGACACACCTACACACACACACACACACACATAGAGTGTAGATGATATTGCCATAAACTCAAATTAAGTAGCAAAAGAATAAATACAAAACAAATGAAAGAGATGAGACTTCGTTTGGATCATAGACGAATTACCGAGTTCAACCTGCAAATACATGGAAAAGCAATAGACGAATTATAAACCTATATAAATATATATATGTATATATATATATATACACACACACACACACATACCCACATACATATTTATAGTGTGTATTTACATATGAACTACACTGTTCCGACAGTTTCATAAAATTAGAAGAATAATAAAATAATAAAATTAAATCCCTTTCAAGACTTGCTAAATAAAAAAAGGTTACAATTATACAACTGCATGCAACACACAAACATTCACTTCAAAACTGCAAATGCAACAAAAAAAAACTAAATAATAATAATATCAAAAAACAAAAACAAAAGTATTCGATATTGCCTTCTTTATATATATATATATACAATTGTAAAGTAACAGAAAAACTTGATGCAAAAACGAAAACATGAGAAAACGCATGCAACATTTATATCTTTTTTTTTATAGATGCGAAGAAATTTAAAGCAAGAACACCTAAAATATTTAAATGAATTATACAAACTGCTAGAATATAAAATCGATGAATAACTTTTGAAAGCAAACAACTGAACTAATAATTATATTTAATGAAATGAAACAATATGTTATACGCTAAAAACAATAGATATGCTACATGTATGCACACACACATACACACACACACACACACACACACACACACACACACACACACACACACACACACACACACACACACACACACACACACACGTACACACACACGTACACACACACACACACACACACACACACACACACGTACACACACACGTACACACACACACACACACGTACACACACACACACATACACGTACACACACACACACATACACACACTAAAAAGACTGAAAAATATAGTTCCTTTTGTTTTTATGTACATAACAAAGCAAAATTTCTAACGAAAATTGTAAACTTAATGCGAAATGAGAACGTAAAAACAATTAATGGAATTATAAATTAATCAACGTAAATTTAAATCAACAAAAATTTAATTATTTATATGTATACATATATATATATATATATATATATATAAATATATATATATATATATATATATATATATTTATATATGAAACGCAGCCGAAAGCATTATAAACAATTATGTATATTTGATAGTTGAATTAACTCAATTTTTGTATCGAACTGCAAATGCTTAACAATAAGAAACAACAAATTTGTAAGAAAATTCTTTGGGCAGTTCGCCGACGCCTGATGCCAGCTTCTTATATAGATATTATATCTGAACAGTTGGTTCCGCGTTGGCGCACGCAGCTGCTTTTGTGTACATATATATACATAATATACTATAAACAAAAACAAAACCCTATCATATAATAAATTAATACAAAACAAACAAAAAAAAAAGCTTCAATATTTTTATTTCTAACTAAAGCTAATTTTTAAAGTAAAGCTAAGTTATTTGTTTCCTGTTTATATAAGCGAAATAAACAACTAAACATATTACAATGTAACGAAAATATTATGGCGAGACTATAATAAAAACTAAATTAATATATATAATTGAAAGCAATTGCTTTTTCAATCATACTCCAAGTAGGTAATCGTGCTATATATTTGTATATCCGTTATCTGATTGTTGTTGGATTAACTATTACAAATCCGAGGATTGTCTGTTCAGTCTACAGAGAGATATCATTTTCAAGGAATCGCTTGCAGAATCTACAATCCCGCTCTACTAACAAATCCATTTATCGGGTTTAGTATGAAAATATTTGTAGTGTTAGCCCACTTAGCTAACATGGCAAAATAAGTGTTAAATTAGCAGGAAAAAAAATTAATTTACAAAAGAAATATTTTCTTCTTTCAAGCGTCTACCATTACATTAATTGAATCCCATTAAGCAAAAAAAAAAAAAAACAGATTCAAATAACAGCACAGAAAACAATACAATCGCAATTGCAATGCTGGATGTATAAAAGATATGTATGTGTGTGTGTAAATGCAGACAGACTTGCGCTTTGCGCTAGCTGCCGCAGAGACGTGTCCGTGGCTGCCAATATATACACAACCACCCGTTTTCTTTAATAACTTCTTTGTTCGATCTTGATGAAATTTTCCACAATAGATTTTATTATCCTACATAATATTTATATATTCTCAACAAGTCAATTCCAATGAAAATGTTGCTAAAATTGGTGAACAATACAAATATTTTTATATACTGGATGTTTAGCATGTGGTGGTAGCGGGGAGGTGGCGATAGATGTAATATAAAGCATACTTGATATATATATACCGGAACGCTTTGTGCAAAAAATTTCAGATATCACCTTCCCATTGATCTCCACTTCTATTCAAAAATCTTTTTTAAAGTCCATCAAAAAAATATCCAAATGTTTGAATCAGAGGTTTCCTCCATTGATAGTCTAGTGGTAAGAATCTTGAGGTTCTGATAAAGATTAAAAAGAAAACAAGTAAGAGATTCTAGTCGGGAGCGCCCGACTAGGGGATACCCTCTTCTTCCAACATCAAATGCATATAGATTCTATTTTAGAAACTATATGTCAAGTTTGGGGACTCTAGCTCTTATTATTTACCAAAATTGCCCAAAAAAAAAGGATATCGATATCAATTTTTATCGATTGCTTGGAAACGGAGTAAGTTATCGATTATCGGATTATTTTTATTCATTTCAAGTCTCTAGCTCTTATAGGTTCTGAGATCCTTGCGTTCATACATACGGACGGACGGACAGACGGACATGGCTAGATCGATTCGGGTATTGATGGTGATCAAGAATATATATACTTTATGGGGTCGGAGATGCTTCCTTTTGCCTTTTACATTTGGATTTTGCACAAATACTATATACCCTTATACCCATTTTGGATGGGTTCAGGGTATAAAAACAAAGTGTGAAATACCCCTCAAATGAATTTGAACAAAGATCTTTGAAAATAATTTTGATGCCGATTGGATGGTAAACAAAAAAGGTGGTTTACAAATGTTTTTCACGATTTTTCCACACTTGCGGGTGGAATTTCCCGAAACCCCGTCTTAACGTGCGTTGATCACCAATCAGTCAGTCAGTCAGTTAGGACCAACAGTTGTATATATAGATATTCTAGAAGCAGCATGTCCAGTTTGGTGACTCTAGCTCTTATAACTTACGAGATTTTTATCGAATTATGGGTTCTGATACTGTGGAGCTGCTGTGAAATAGAAAAATGTTTAAGTAACCCAATTTCAAACCAGTAAATAGCAAAGTTAATCAGTTTATGTTTTCTTCGTTTTTAATGTTTATTTGGTTTTTTTTTGTTGTTTTTTTTTTTTTGTGTTGGTTTTGTTTTGAAACGAATGAAAAGTACCTAACAAGTTTGTGTGTTCGGTTTTGTTTGTTTATAAAATAAAAGTACATTAATAGAGCTTTCCTTCATCTTGTTGCTTTTTATACACTTTGTATGTAAATTTTAATTTGTTTAACCTCTAGGCGGTAGATATTAATAACTAGTTGCAGTTGGTTGTCTGTTGGACTCTGTTGTGTGGGGCGATGATTTGGCTTTTAACTTTGATGATGAACTTTGAACTGATATTTGGGTGCAAGGAGTTTGCACTCTGATTTCGTTTTTGTTTTTAACTTGTTTAAATTGCGAGTTTCTAGTCTGTTGTGTTGTGTGTTTTGTCGTTTTTGCTTTCTAGTTTACATTTCATAACAATAACAAATTAGTAATTATGCTTATTTTGCTTTAATAACTAAATCAAACGCACTGACAGAGAGGTTTGAAACGGCAACTAAACATATACAAAAAAAAAACAGCAAACAGAATACACAGAAAATACAGCATGGACATATGTTGTTGTTCTTCTTCTTGTTGTTGCTCGCTGCTGACTGGTGGGAATTTTTCTCCACCTTCTTGGGTTTGTGTTGTGGCTAGGTTAACAGTTATATTGCCTATGTTGAGGCGCATGCAGATCGTAATTAAACTCAGAGTTGGTCGCGAGAGAAAGGGTGAGTGTAACAGAATGAGCGAGAGAGAGAGAGAGAATGTTTTTCTTTTGCCGCGTTTGGAATTTTTATAGCTAGTTTTTGTGTTTTCAATTTCAAATTTGTTGTTTGTTGTGATTTATTTTCATTTAATATTAGTTTTTATAACTATTTGGTTTTTCTAATTAAAAATTATCCGTGTGTGTGTGTGTGTGTTTGTGTTCACTAATTTACAGACAGTTCTGGCGCAAAATATTTTTTAATGAGGATTTCTTTTGTTCTCATTTATTCGTTTTTTTTGTTGTTTTTGTTTTGTTTGCTTTTGCTTGGTTTCTGTTTTTATTTTTTGTATTGTTTAAGGCTAAAAATTGAAATATGCTTATAAAATGTGTTTTTTGCATTTTGTGGGGCATTTTTCTTGTTTTTTTGTTTTTGTTTTTGTTTTTTTACTTAAAATACGTGTTTGGATTATAAATTTAAATGTAGGTTTTTATGCTTAAAATTGTACACACAACTTAGTTTCATTAAGTTTTTTACATTGTTTTGTTGTTGTTGTTGCTGATGTTCTCTTGAAACGGTTTTGCTTTACTTGATAATTTGTAATAATATTAATAATAATGATAATAATAATAATAATAATAATAATAGATCATCTCTAACATAATATGCGCTGCTTCTCTTGTATATAATTTAAAATTATAAACACCCCCTCCCAATTCCCAAACCCCCAATTCGCAGAGTGTGTGTGTGTGTGTGTGTGTGTGTGGCTTAGGGCCCGTAGGCATCGGAGCTAAAGTCGAACAGCCGATCGATGCCCTCGTTGGCGTTCAGTGCGTAGGGATAATCATTGTCATCCGGCGGATCGATGGACACAAAGGCTTCGTTATTAAAGTCTGCAAAGAGGTAAATAGAGAGAGAGAGAGAGAGAGAAGAAGAGCGAAGAGAGAGAGAGAGCAGCTAGTTAGTGAATTGCACAATACTGATAGATACCCTATACTTATGAGTATGATTGGATGAGTGAGTGGATTCGATTTGTTGGCGCTTGATTAACGGTTGGTTCTTAGTGGATGCATGTTTGAAATTCACGCCAGAGCTGAATCTCATGGTGCTACAAAATTTCAATTTCAATTTGAACAATTGCCCTCTGCAACGGTCAGTGCACTGCAGACCCACGAGAATTCAGTTCCAAAATGAATTTGCGCTTGCGCGTTGCGAGCAAATGGTTTCCATTTATTTAAAAAAAAAAAAAAAAAAAAAAAAAAAAAAAAATAACGAAAAAACATCGACATAAAGGCGGCGGGTTGATATCTGTACATTCTCTATATACAATAATGTATTATATAACAGTTTTTAGTATACGTGAACAGTTATGATTTCTAGATTGGCAGAAATTAGCAGCAATTGAACTGTTAACTTAACATCTTTTAAGATATCACAAATGTTAGGTAAAATGTAGAATGAAGTTTGCATGTTTTTGGTGTATGTGTGTGTGCGTGCGAGTGTGTGTGTGTGTGTGTTAGTGCGACTAGAGAGAAGGAGAGTTGGTTATTAGTTAATTTGGTTTTTTCTTTTTATTACTAATATATTTCTGTTACACATTTCACTATACATTTGAATGATAAACCAAAATAGAAATAAGTAAAAATTCAATTCTGAACTGATTCTCGTCGGTTGGTTGCTTGCCGAAATATTGGGTGAAAATTTGAGAGAAAATAAAATTGATAAAACACTTCACTGAATTTTCGTATATTCGTCTGTTGCTGTGCGAAGTGCGCGCTAAGCAAGAACTCAGACTGTGATGCGGTTTGCATATAAGAGTTCACGCAAGTCACAGAAAAAGTTCTTGATAAGTGCGCTTCAATAAAACCAAATTCGAACTGTTAAAGCAGGCGCTGTAGAACTTGCTGCTGTTATTTACATAGACGAGATGTAGTGTATGTTGTGATGGACGATTTGATGCTTGTATGAGAGACGTCAGCACACGGAGTATAGAACTGAGTTGAATTTCTAATTTCGATTTCGAAATATACTTACAGTCTGTGCCAATGTCGCCAAACAACGCATCGAGGCCTTGGAGAGCAACATTGCTGCCGTCACTGTCAGCGTCGCAGTCGCCAACGCCTGGCGGCAGGCTGCGATAGTTATTCTTGTTGTTGTTGGTATTGTTGTATTGCTGTTGCTGATCAACATTGGCGCCAGCGCCAGAGATGTCGCTATATGTTGCCGCCAAGCCGACTCCAAGGCCGCTGTCGCTTTCATTGCCGGCTACTGCCGCAAACTGCATGTGCAGCGAGCCTATGGCAGAGGAGTTGTGGCTGCTGTTATTATTGCTGTTATTGCTAACAGCATACGACGCAGTCGCGCCGTCCATTGCACAGTTATACATTGGTACATCGCTGCGTCGCTGCTGCTGCTGATTACTGTAATTAACTGTGCTGCTGCTGCTGTTGTTGCTGTTATGGGGTTGGGAATTGTTGTTGTTGTTGCTGCTGCTGCTGCTGTTATGACTATTAAGCGTAGTTGTGTTGCCCGCGATGTTGGCAGCGGGATTCGCCGCACGTCGCCAGAGCCGCGGCGTCGTAGAGCGAAGTCCGCCCTCCGCCTTCGTGGGCGAGGATTGTGTTAGGCTGTTTAAAATGTGCTGAATATCGATGCCATGCCGCTGGTGATGGTGATAGCTGCGGACCACGGGACTGGTTAGCGTCGGCACCAGCTGATTCAGCTCATTGTCGACGTCGTCATCGTCGTCATCATCATCATCATCACCATCATTGCCCGCCTGCGTCGTCGACTGTTGCAGCTGCTGCTGTGGCGAGGTCAGTTCATATTTGACGCCGCCAATATCACAAATGTTATTATATTCAGGCTGGGATTGCTTGGCCGCCTCCTCAATCGACTTGCTGAGGTTGCGCTGAGCTGATAAGCGATATGGTGGATGGCCTGCGCACAGATTAAACGGTAAATAATTAGTACTCGATTCCTTTTTTCCTATCGATTTCCGTTCACTTACCTAGGCCCTTGGTGCTCATGGCATCAATGTTATTGAATAGGGGATCGATGCGCTGATTGGTCAGGTGATGCAGTCGCGTCGAGGTCGCCGTGCGTATGCCGTTGCCACACAACGCAGGCGCAATTGGCGAACTCTCCGGCGAATTATCTTGGCACAGAAATACATTTATCTCCCCGCTGTTCTCCGCCTTAACGTATATTTCGCGCGGTAGCTTTGTGTTGGGCAGCTGTCAGATAGATAGATAATAACAGAATTATAATTAACAGTTATAAGCTAACAGCAATTGCAGCTGTAACAGAACAACAGAAACTGCTATTAGCATCTGAGGTAGACAGCAATAGACTCTACATGTGTAGACTTGCCACCTGTAGCTGTTAACCGATATTAATCGGAGCACATTCGAAATAGCCTTCGGATTTTTCATCGACTTTTTTCTTCGCTCGTGCGTGCGTTGGGCGCGAGTTCATTAAACAGTTCAAGGCGAGCGGAAACATTAAGCGAAATATTTATAAATAGTGTGTGGCTAACAGATAGTAGAAAAAGAAGACTGCGCGAGATTCAATTGGAAAAATACTTTGTTTTTTTTTTTGGAAGAGAAATCTATATGTATATGAATCAGAAATACATTTTCCCCTTGATATCAAAATGGAAAGGCTGCTCCGTAGGGTGTAGCGCGACCGGTTCGTAGGTTCGTCTGGGGACTTGGGGGGGGGGACTAACGGGGCTGCGGATTTGCTTCCATTTTGCAGTGCGTCGCGCTTGTCGCCGTCTGCGGCACGTCTAAAAATAGGGCGCCATCTTTAATGGCATGCAGACGCAAAGAAGAAGCACAATTGTCTGACGTCGTCGGCCGAAAAACGACGAACGGACGAAGACCAAGCAAAATCAGCTTCTAATATAATCCATACACATATAGAGACACTAGACTACTTTAAAGAACATGATTCACAGATGTGGACATTTTATCGATTTATCGAATCTAGAGATCTAGATTATACGCTCGAGTATCTTCACGGTTTGAGATGTATCTACAGCTAGTTAGCACTGAGATGGTTCAAAGCTTTTGCCCTATCTGAACTTTGGCCCTATGTCGTTTTAATGGGAAATTCTATAGTTCTTCTTCTTTCGCTTGAGACTCACCACAAGTTTGGCCTCTGGCGGCGCCTTGATCACAATCACAATCTGATCTTTGAACAGATCCACGTTGAGCAGATCGTTTTGCGTCACGTAGGCCATGCCGCCAATATTCTCCACCTCCTGCGATATCTCGGCCAGTTCGCCGCGCATCTGATCGATGAGCGTGTTGAGCTCGTTCTCGCGCTGCTCCAGACGCTCGCACTCCGCCTCGATGTGCCGGGAGCGTTCGCTGCTGACCAGTGATTGACCGCCGCGCCATTGTATATTGTTCTTGGACTTCTTCTCTAGGATGCCAATGCCCTCCAGGACGTTCGTAATGTCGTAGATGCGACGCTTCTGCACGGACAGCCGGGTGGACGCATCGTTCAGATCGACAACACCGTCCGGCGACTCCTGCAGCAGATCCACAAACTTTTTGGTCAATATGCCCAGCGAGGTGTCCGCCCGATTGCGATCGCCACCACCGCCGCCCCCAGCTGAAGACGTCGACGAAGATGTTACCAGCGCCGTCTGCTGCTGCGGCGTCGTCTGCTGCTGCGACGCTGTCCGCGCAAACTGTGCATGTGAATGCAAAGTACCGTTGCCGGCCGGTTTGCTCGTCTCCACATCGTCATCTTCGTCGTGCTCGACGTCGTACTGCTGCTGCGACTGCGACTGCTGGTAGCGCTGCTGCTGCTGCTGCTGCTGCTGCGCCGCCGCCTGCTGCTTGCTGTTGTTGTAGGTGACCGTTTGATGCTGTGCGCTCTGCTTGGCCTGTTTCTTCGGGTGGATCTCGTGGGTGGCTGCGTTCGGCCGGCGCTTGACCTGTACCAGACAGAGATGAACAGAGAGAGAGAGAGAGATGGTGCGTGGTGAGTATGTGTAGGTGTGTTGAAATCGGCATCTTTCTGCACGCATGTTGAGTATACTACATATGCATATGTATACGACTGGTGTGTCGATAACATATATCGATATATCGCATAGCTGCATCACATTATGAAAGTTCTTCAGCTATTTATCTATGCTCGTTCCTTATCAATATGTGTTAATCGATAACTTTGCAAATGATCAACAAATACTAATTGAATTAATGCCTTACCCTGTAGTAGTGTGTGATATCATTCGTTTTGCCAGCAGATCCTCCTCCATTCCGCTGCTGCTGCTGCTGCTGATGATGTGTGCTTGTTGCTTCTGCTATAACGGTTGTTGGTGTTGTAGTGTTGCCAGACTTATTCAGACTTATGTATTCGTGATCTTGCAGGTGGGCTGCGACGCCAACGCCAACGCCGACGCCGATGCTGACGCCGCTGTTGCTGTTGCTGTTGTCGTTGCTGCCGTGCTCGTAATCAATGTCCCGCAGATTTTCATTTTTGATCACAATATTATTGTTGTTATTGTTGTTGCCCAGCAGCTCATAGCTGAGTTTGCGTACCACCTGTGTGCCGCCAACTCCATAAAGCTGCTGCTGTTGACGCTGTGTGTTGCTGTTGGGCGCGGCGCTGGTTATCAAAAAATTCGACATTTCGCAGTCGCGCGCGCTCTCCCTGCACTCTTTACAAAAATGCTCTCTCTCCCCCTCGCTCTTTTTGCTCTCACGCAACTTAGTCGCTTTGTCTTTTATTTATACAGCTATTTTGTTGTTGCTACGTTGTTGGCCTGGCAGCGCGGCAGTCGCCCGTATTTTGCTGTAGCATACTTTTAAGCGCGCCAGTTGCTGCTTAAGTCGTTGCCACCTAGTTGCAAATTTGACTGATGTGTGCTTGTTGCTTCAGTTAGTTTGTTGCTGTTGCTGTTGCGGTTGCGGTTGTTGGTGTTGTTGTTTATTGTACTTTTTGTTTGCGCTTATCAACTAAATTAGCACCTAGGGATTCTTCACATCTGCAATGAACGAAAAGAAAAATAAAGAAGAGAGAAGCCAATAATTAGTCAAGTGCTATGTGACTCAATATTTATGCAACTGGCACATTAAACTTTTGCGCCATTTCTGTTGTTGTTCTTAACATTAAATGGTGCCTGCATTTACATGAAATTAACATAACATAGCCTCGACACGCCGCTGCAGCAAAGCGACAGAGAGACAGGGGCATTCCAATGAGCGAGAAGAGCGCAACATTTTGAATTATGTATAAGTCAAAGCTCACAACAGGCGTCGCTTTGTGGCATGCCAAAAATATGTCTAACAGAATACACAAACCGGCAATATTGTGCGTGCGTTTTTGTTGTTGGCGTCGCGCAAGCGCAAATGTCAATAAACTCAGCATAAAAAGTATTAAAACAATCAATTCGCCAAGCCAAAACAGATGCCAAAAGAAGACGCGGCGCAGCGTGTGAAGTGAAGCCAAAGGCACAGCGCGAAAAACGAGAACGCACAACAGGTAAAGCGAGTAACGTTATATAGTTAATGCTGTATTAACCGCTTTTGGCCAACGTCTCCATCTACTGTGCGGCCGAGGCTTTATTCATTAGAGGGAAAGATTTCTTGCTGGAGATGTTGTTGTTTTGCTGGTTGATTGCCAAGCGCGAAGTAATATTTTGCGTGCTGGCAAATTAAAAAGCTCAAACAGCGTAAAAATAACAATAAAACAAGGCCAAATGCCAAAACAACAACAATAATAATTAACACTACTTGTACTTAACATGCAATGTTAATTTACATGCTTTGTGCTTTGTCAGTAATGTTAACTGTTAACGCTGCTTAAATAGCAACATGTTTGCATTTGACAAACTGAAACGGTAGAAATAATTTACAAACTGTTAATTGCGCGATCAAAAAGCACACATTCGCAAATTAAGAACATTTATTATGAATATATATATATATGTGTGTGTGTGTGTGTAAGTGTACATAAAGGTAACAAGCGCACAGTCTCTACATATACATACATACATACGTATGTACATATGTAGAATGAAACGCAAAACGAACGAAATGAACGGAACGTCGCGTGGAATTTGCTGAAATTGGCAAGAAACAAGCAGCGAGCAGGCAGCAGCAAATCGGCGCAGGTAGGTAACAATAGCCAGCCTCTGCTCTCCTCTCCTCTCACTGGCGCACTCTCGCTCTCGCTCTCGCACTCGCACCCGCTCTCTTCAGTCACGCTCTCTACAACAAACTGCAGGCTGCTGAGATTCTCTTGTTGCTTTCTACTTTGCAAAAAAAAAAACGGCATCTGCTTACAGGCCGGCAAGTTTTGTTTTATATATTTCTCTTTTTTTTTTGCAGGTAATTCAAATCGAGGACATGGAAATTTTATACGCTGCCTCCAAAATTGTTGGCACAAATTATGTGGGTAACAGCGAAAAAAAAAACAATATACAATATAAAAAGGGTAGCTGCTTGGCTGCCGCCAGGTAGGTCCTTTGAAATTTCTTAATTTAAATGCACACGAAATATTTTTTCGTTTGATCGGCATTCAATAACAAGTAGTCGTATATTCTTCATTGCGCATATAAAATTACAGAGAGCGTATAAAATTACGCCTAAAGAGACGAGAAGCACAACAAAGATTTTATGCTAATTGAATCTATCTATATAGGTATAAGACATAACTGTTATTTAATGCATGCGTGCTGTTAACATTTGAACCTAACATTTCTGCAGATCATGTTATGTAAAATGTGCAATGCCAACAGTTATCTGCAGTTAACATTTGTGTCGGTGTGTGTGGTGCGTGTGCGTGTGTGCAGCTAGTGCACTTGTCGGGCATCTCTTTGAATGTGTTTATCTAATAACAACAAGCCAAAAGGTAAATATAAAATGCAACTGTGACTTGACGAAAACAAAAACAACATTATGCAAACAGGGAAGAGAACATGAACATGAAAGTCGTGGACAAAATGGCCTAGAGAAAATAAATAAACGAAGCAACAACAACAACAACAACAATATAAGCTCAGCTTTTTTTTCAATCAACCTGACGACGACGACGTCGGCTCAGCAGAGCGCAGCGGCCGCGGCCCCGGCCGCTTGACTGATAAAGAAAAAGCTAGAGGTATAAACATTATATACAATGCATACGTTTGAATGAATTTACATATACATATGTATGTATTAACAATGACGAGTAAATAACAGCGGACGGTGAGGGCACAAAATAGGTGTCCAAGCACGCGAACTATTTTCTTTTTGATAGCGTAGCGACTGCGCTGCTTATTGTAAATTAAAGTTAAGTAAAACACGAGAAAATGGTATTAAAAAGGAACCAGACCTGTGACCAGACCATGCCACCCCCTATAGCCCAAACCCCCTAACACCCATGACTAATGGTCAGCAGCTGCTAATTGGGCGCTTAGAAATGAAACTTAACGGTACTGTTTAATAACTTCTAACACGAGCTATCATTTATTCATGCAACAATTTATGGCGCTTTAATTATGCATATATACATACATATGTACATACATTAATATGTCCACGCATATATTATATACTACTGTATTTATCTTTAACAGCGAGCGCTCTCACACGCACACAGACACAGATAGCTCTGGGGGCAGAGCAGCGCTGCCGACTGCAGCGCACACGTAAAAGTTTCGCTTTCTTTTTGCACAGTATTTTGCATGCGCAGCAGAAACGCAGACGCAAAAAAAAAAACAATAAAAGACCGACTAGACAAACATATATGCGCATATACATATGTATATGTATACACGTATATACACACATACATGTTTACTTAACACATCGTACAACAAATTGCCACAAAACCATTCAGCATTCGCAATAAGCGCCGGAGCAAAGAATAATTTGTGTGTGTATGAGCTTATAGACGTCTTCGCTCAGACAATGCGCTTGTGTATGTGTGTGTGTGTGTTAGGGAGATTTTTAGCGCGAGAGTGGGATGCTGAGGCTGGCTGCTTTCACGACTTTGGTTTGAGATGCCGGCCGCTATTTTTTCTGTCTGTTTTCATAACAGCTGTTAGACCGACCGACAAGGCGTTCACAGATGCGGTCCACAGCAGAGCTTTTGTTGTTGTTACTCTGCTGCTGCGCTGTTGCGGTCTAGTGTGGATTGCATGTTTATTGCGACGCAGCCGGTTTTCTGGCTTGAGGTCCACTCTGATTACGTGCTGTTGTTGTTGTTAACCGGTGCGGACATAAGCATACAAATATATATGTACATATATATGTATATGTATAAAAGAACATGTTAACGTACATGTGTAACTGTAAATAAGGCGTTACGCTGCTGTTAATTACATTCAGCCAATTACAGGGCACTGCTACACTTTTTATTTGTTTGCAAAAAACAATCAAAGCTTAACCCAAAAACGCCAATCAACTAAGCCTAAGCACTTACAAACTTGCCCAAAAGCAACATCATTAAGAACAGCAACAACAATCGTCTTATTTGCTTGTGCTTGCTGAACGCACACTTTGATATGCAATTTAAATAAACAGCAAGAGACGCAAGTGTAAACAGCAACAGCAAGAGTAAAGCTACAAACCCTATTTGTCAGTGAGAGTGGGATGGCGAACGTGTAATGTAAGCTACAGTTAACAACAGAGCGCTGTTAGGCTCAACAGCGGCTGTTGTTTTTCTTCTTCTTTGTCTGTACATATTTGGTGGGTGCAAAAGCCAAAAATAATTGCCAGTTGGTGGGCGGCAGAGAGGTGCACAAAGCAAGAGAGAGCTTTGGCAGGCGCATAAAATGCGTCGCAAAATAATTCGCCAACAAAATGCAAACAAAAAAAAAGAAAAAACAGAAAAGTGGGTTGGGGTTGGGGAGTTGGCAGCTTTCTGGGCGTGCAAGTAAGTTTGTATGTGTGTGTGGGCGCCGCGTTGTTCTGGAAAAGTGGAAATTTAATGCCGGGCAAGACGTCAAAAAAAAAAATTTCTCAATTTCAGGGAATTCCCTAACTACTACTTATATAATTTACGAAACTGCCTGCGAAGCAATATTGTTAAAAGTAGCAGGAAAATTGTATTATGTGAGCATATGTGCAATACATACATACATCCATATGTATATGTATGTAGACTACTGCTGTTCTTGTCCATATGCATGACGCATTTTCAGTCATGAGTTTCTCATAAACTTGCATTGAAAATTTCCCCTTGCGCTGTTATCAGAAACTCTGTTACAGCATTTGGTGAGGCCGACTGCACAACTTCAGTTAACATGTGAACAATTATTCCAGGTACGCCCAAAAAACAAAAAAAAAAAAAACGATAATGTGGAGCAGGAAGCAGCAAGTGCTCGGGGGTGTGTGGCGAGAGCTTTAGAAGTTTGCTATTTACAAATGAATTAAACGTAGCTTCACCTTAAACACATCGAGCAGAGCCGACGACACACACACACACACACATACAAAAGGCATTTAAAGGTTATTAACGGGCTTTAGAGCGGAGGAGAGGCAGCACAAAGCAAACCTGCAAGAATGATTAATTGTCAATCGCACACATACACACACACACACACACACACTGACAAAACACATGGTTGCGCAGTTTGAAAGCAACTGATAAATCGTACCGAAATTTTCTAGTTTTTGGGCAGAAAAAATATACATGGATGTGTAAGAAGTGCACGCACCTAAATTGGAATTTCTTTGCCTTTATATCACGACGCACAACCCACCAGCAAAGCAAATGCCTGCAAACGCTGCTGCTGCCGTCGCCTGCGTCGTCGTCGCCGCTGCTGCTGCCAACGTCGCTGCTGCTGCTGATGTTTTGTTGTTGTTGCTGCTGCTGCCGCCGTCGCGCTCATTTAATATCACACACGTTTCATATTTTTGCGTTTTTCATGTACATTTTTTCCACTACGTTTTCATGTTTCTTTTGCGCAAAATTTGTATTCTTCTTTTCGACGTGTGACGTCAGCAGTTGAGAAAAAATTATATTTGTTGTAGATATCACATAATTGTTGTTGATGCGCGTACTATGTCTGTCCCAAAATATTGTTGTTGTTTAGTTAGCTGTGTGTCTCAATGTGTGCAGTTTTCTTCTTTCTTTTCATCAGTTTTCACATTTTGTGCGACGAGCTAAACGAACTTCATGGGCCACGACGTAAACGCAAAGTGAGTGCTGCCTGGCCTGAGTGTCTTTTCGTCGTAGTAGTAAGTGGAGTCGCCGGCAAACCTACAGCGAAAGAGAGTATCTCGCCGAGAGAGCGAGAGTGAGAGAGAGCGAGTTCGCAGAGAAAACGTAAGTGGCGACGTGACGTTAAGCGTGTTGGTCCGACGGCAGAGACGGCGTGTTGCTAATGATCCCTCGTTATTGTTGTTGTTGTCGTTGGTTGTTGTTGCTCAATGTTGCAGCTACACAAGGCCAGTCCGTACAGCCTTGATGACGTCACTTATCAATATTTTAATGAATTGCTGAATAATTCTGCACTCGGGCACATATTCGTGGACATCTCTCATGTATTTCTCCACGCGGGCGTTTACGTGATACGATTCGCGTTGTCGCTTACTTTTGTGTAGCTTCTCGTTTTCTCAGTGGACAGCAGCAACAGCAGCGACACGACGCGACGACGGCGACGACAGCAACAACAAACAGACACGACCAGCAGTGCGGAGCGTATACGAAAAACTAAAAGCGGCGAATTTGCTGCCACCAATTTGAACTGTTACTGTGCCGCTTTTGGACTCTGTTAAGTATGCTCGTAGCGGCGAATTGAAAGCCGCAGCTGAGAGTAAGCGTTCACAGCTGAGAGAGAGGCGTGCTGTAACGTAAGCAGCAGCTGAGGCGGCAACATATTATAAACGAGTATGCGTGAGTGGAACGTAGGCAGACGCCTTGTAGCATGTGGATGCCAGACTCATAGTAGGTAGGTGTGCGTCTATGTATGAATACGTGTGTTTGTGTGCTTTTGAGCCGCGCTCTCAGTTGCTCAAATGCCGGCTACAACAACTGAGAGACGGAAGTGGCATGCCGCCTCCAACGTGACTGCCACCGCACCCACAAACCAACTACAAATGTACATACATACATATGCATGTATGTGTATAAAAGTATTTATGTATATGTATGTATGTATATTATTTTGCTGTCTCTGTTTTCCACCGTCTTTTTATCTGCGTGTCAGTGTGATACGCATGTTGCGCGTTTTTATTATCGTCAACAATGTTGCCAACGCCATACATACATATGTATATAACAGCATGCAACACATACATACATATATATGTACGTTGTTTTTGTTAAACTTATTTAAAAGGATTTACAATAACCTATTTTATCAAATATTTCGACGAAAGACATTAATAATGCAAATACTACATGTGTACATACATGTACGAAATGTTTCTTCTCTGAGCCATGAGCTCAACTTTGGACTGCTGTTAACTGTTGGCTTTTAAGCAAAGTTCATTGAACTAGATAAACACATCTGCTCAAATACGTTTCTGTGTTTGCGTGTGCCGATCGGTAACTGGGGTACTCATATGTATCTATTGCTGCAATGCTCATACAAAATCAAGCGAATTATGGTAAATACGCCGCAAAAGAAAAAAATTGAACTCACGCCCAACTTCACTTTCCATTTCTCGCCAGGCAGCTAGAGCGAGACAATAATGACAGATGAGCAGCGACAGCGCGACAAGCAAACCAGACACACAGACACACATACAGACACACATACAGACACACACGTACGCAATTCCAGTTAATTAAAAGTATTTATGACACTGCGCGCACACACACACGCACATAAAAAGGTCTTAAGTACAAAAGTCCACAAGGATCGTGGGAAGTTCCAGGCGCAGACGATCGCAAAGCGAGCTCAAAAAAAAAAAAATATCTCTGCTATCTATGAGCAGAAAAAATCACGCAAGTACAAGCAAAAAACCTAACATGCATAGAAGCGCAGTCTACAAACCTAGAAGGAAAAAATCAGGGGGGGGGGGGGGCAGGGGTAGACATATAGCCTTAAGGGTGACGCTGGATTGGTGGTTGTGTGAAAAGAAAAATAAAACGACATTCTGTTAAGCACACGATGTCTTCTCAGCCAGAAACTTTGCGTCGTAGGCAGAATTTGGTTAAAGAAAAAAATGAAAGGATACGAGCATCTTGCAAGTCCTGCCTTGCTGTGGGGTCATGAGAAGCAACAGCGCAAAAAAAAAGGTTGACAAAAAATGTAGAATATAAAAAGAAGTAAAAATAAAAAATTTAATAGAAATTGGAAACTGGAATGCAGATAAGCTGAGGGAGGCATATGATAGGTTTGAGTGAGACCAGACAATTTGTTGGCAAGGCATAACGTAGAGGTGCAAGGTAGGGCATATTGGCTAACTAAATAATTGTAATTCACAAAATAAAAACCAATTCCAACAAGTTATTTCAGCTCACTACAAATTTAACATTGTGCTAACATTTATGGAAGCGCTAACATTCGGCTAACATTGAAGCCAATGTGCATACATATAAGCCGGACAAAACATATGTTAGGGTATTGCAAGTATTTGACAAGCCAGACGAAATGTGCCGGCAGCATAGCAGTAAACTGAAGCGAAATGAGAACAGACGGAACATCCTCATAATCGTCATTCACATAGTCGTCGCCATTTGCAGCAACCCCTTTTTCAGTGGGGTGCAAAACACTTTTTACAGCCTCTGCTTCTGCTTCTGCTCCTGCTTCTGCTGTGGCCTCTGCATCCCCAAGGCGTGCAGCACATAGACCGGCGACATGGGAAATGAATGAGAGCTGACGGAGAGACGGCAACAGCGACAGCGTCAGCGTCAGCGACAGCGAAGGCGACGTTGCTGGCACAGACATGCCGCAGAATGCAATCAACTTGAAAACTACTTGAGAATCTGAGCGACGGTAATATTCAAATTTGAAAAATAAAAGTGAAGAAAAAAAAAAAAGAATGCAAAAACAAAAAAAAAAAAAAAAGAAAATAAAATAAAACAAAAACGCAACGGACATTGAAGTTAGAGAGAAGCCGCTGCTGATGTCGGCGTTGACGTTGACGTCGCTGCATGTTTGACAGAATGTCAGTCACAATGTTGATTGTGTAGTTGTTTTTGTTGTTGTTTTTCTTATTATTGTTGTCGCTGCTTCTGTGTAGTTTTTGCCTTGCTCTTTGTTTAGGGTGGCCAGGCCAGGCCAGCTTTCAAGGCGCTTTGGCCTGTGTGAGAGCGTGAGTATTGTGTAATTGTGTGTGTGCTTACTTCCGACCGATGCGGCGAGACGTTTCACTAAACTTGACGCAACATTTATTGAATTTGCCTGCAGCGACGCTGTCGTCGAGGCGAAATGTAAAATTGATGTTGTCGCCGCGTCGCTGAGCAAAGTGCCCAAAGCAGGCGCATAAATGAGTATTACGGAAGTTCCAACCCCCCCCCCCCCCCCTCCCCTCTCCACATCCATCTTTTTTATGCGGCTTGACATTCTAGGGTGAGAAAGAGGGGGTGGGGCATTACATACTAATTGCAAACTAATTTGATTCAAATGTTAATTATTTTTACAGATATCGCTCAGGCAAAAGGGCAGAAACTGAATCAGTCAACTCTTAACTTTGATATTTCAGTAGGAGAGAAAGAGAGGGAGAGAGCGCGCACAGTGCGAATAGGCTATGTTAAACGGGTTTGGCTATTGGAGTTCAAAGTTGGACATACTAAATAAATAGATGCATGCGCTTCTGATAAGCTTAAGTCAACACAATAAAGTTGTACAATTAGCATTATTAAATTATAATATTTTTAGTAGTCACATATAAGAAATTATTAATCGTAGTATACTATAATCGTAATTATAAAACTTGACTTTGAAAACTATTGATAATAAAAGCATTGAAACCGAAATAATAAATTATTCTAATTATTTTTTATATTGCTTAAATGCTCCATGAAATGTTTCTTCCGTAAATGGTAACATTAAACAATATTAGGGATTCCATTAACTAACAAACAAAATAAAAGAAACAAAATTATGCCTGCAATTTTAGTAAAGATGAAATATGAATATATTGAATAAACTTCTACTTAAGTTTCTAGATTTTTATAATATGCTAAGTAAGCATTGTGTATACACTCATTTATAGTGTGTAAATTCCACATTAGGCAGAATTCACTGTACTGTTTTTATTACTCATGATCATGTGTGTAGATTTTCATTTCAGCTTCTAGGCGTAGCACTATCACAGGCTGGTTAAAAACAAAAAAGGTTACCGATGCGACTCGCAAGCCAAATGGGGTTAGGGTCATAATGAGCAGGCGGGCGGGCGCAGGCGGAGAGACACGGCCAGAGGCAGACTCAGGCAGGCGGCAAACTCTAGTCTAACGAGCGGTCGACCTTAAAAGCGCGCTGCATGCCCGCACTTAAGCCAAACACCGAACACCAACTACCTGCCCGCCCGCCGCCCTAATACCCATGCCCGAGCACGTAGCCGCCTTTGTAGAGCACATGCTCTATATGGTTAGACAAGCCGTCGAGTGACTCTGAGTCTGACGCGACTCGCAGCGAGTCAAGTCGACTCGACTTGGTTTGAAGACGAGAGACTCCAACAAGCTACAAATGATTTCAGCTCACGTTCAATGAACTTTTCTAAGTGCCATAAAACGCGAGTAAATCTCCACAAAAACAACATGATTCAAATAAAACAAAAATCCCTTAAAGCTTAGTATTTAATTTTTCGTTTCAAAAGTGCCAAGAAATGATATCTTAGAAAAACACAGACAGGTTGAACCTAACTATAATTTAACTTAAATAGACCTACGATATATCCTGATAATAATTAAAATCAAATTTTTTATCACAGCTATATAATAAAATGATTACTGCAAAAGTGATGTCAAGTTATATGATAAGATGGGTTTTGTTTCGGGTTCTAAATAAAGTTAAAAAAAAAAACAATCTGATACATCTGAACGTTATAAGATTGTGCTTGATATATTCTTAAGTTTTTTTTGCCCAGAGACGCTTTCATTTTATCTACTGCGTCTGAGTTCCTAAATGCATTGCATAGTTCATCAGAAAATTAGTATAGCCGCTGTAAGGGTATAACAAAATCAGCGAGTGAATTTGCAACGAGTAAATTTTAACTGTATTTTTGCTGTTGTTTTCGTTGGTTTTTGCCGTGCAAATGAATTGTTTGTTTTACTTACGTGTCGGCTGGCATTGAATTTGAAATATATTGTTTTGTAATCCAAAAGTGATTTCTTGTGTTGAGTTTGAGTTTTGGCAACGACTTGAAATTGATGTATGCCAACTTATTTGATTATTGTGTAATTTCAAGGCTTTTTTAACAATGATATCGGTTTAATTTAGAAGCAATATAGGTTTTTTGGTATTTCGGCAATAAAGAACTCCAAGGTATAAATAAATATGTTTTTCTTATAATAATTATAAAATAGTTTTTAGAACAAGTTAAGGGTAAACACTTAGCACAATATAAGACTTTGTTTAACAGTTTAAAGAGTGAAAGAGACAAAAAATGTGCTCAAAACAACAACACGTGTGGTATAACAATATATGTATATGAAACATAAATAATTGAAGGGGAATTTTAATAAAAGTATTGCATTTGCGTAATTTTGAAAACTTTCTCATGAAGCATCATATTTTGTAATCATTTAAATTGCATATCAATTTTTTAGCCCAATTTGACATAATTCTCATGTTTTTGTTTTTGTTATTATAATTTTTGCGCTGCTTTGTAATCCTTTGTGCGTTCAGCTTGCATTGGTATTGGCTATAGAACCGTTTGGTTTGTGTTTTTAGTTTAGTTTTTGAGAATTTCAGCAACATTTGAACCGAGTTTTAGTTTAACATTTTCTTTTTGTTCAACAATTTGTTTGTAACAATAATAATTTTGCGTCACTTAAATGCGGACAGAGCGATGTAAAAACTTTAACATAAACAATGATAACACGTCATGATCAACAATTGTAAACTAGCACAACTACGGTTCGGTTCGGTTCGGATCGGATAGGATCGGATCGTTTCGATCTGCCTGCCGCCTCTCTGGAGATTCACTTCCACTTTCTGCAGCGTTCGTTTTGTAAATGTTGCGTAGTTCTGGTCGCAGACAGAGCAGAAGTGAAGGCAACAAACATAACAGCAAGAAGAGTAAGAGGAAGCAGCGACGGCGGCGGCAGACAAACAGGAATGCAATTGCAGGGCAACAACAACAGCAACAGCAACAACAATAACATTAACAGCACATAGTTCGAACATCGAAATGAGCGCCGGCAGAGAGAGCGAGCGATCGATGTGTGCGTGAATAGCGAGAGCACGAGAGAGCGTAACAGAGTAACGGGGCGTACGAAAGGAATGCAGCAACAGCAGCGAGTAAGGCAAAAGCAAAACAATTGGGGAGGATAATGCAGCGATCGTGCGTGTTCGCTCACTCATTATTCACATACTCACTCACACACACTGACATTCGCTCGTTCGCTCGTTCGCTCGCTCGCTTGTGGCCCACCCAGCGCAGGGTTGTATGTGAACAATAAAAGCATCATCATCAGCAGGCGCAACTGCGCAACTTTGGACCATGTCCCTGTGATTTGACTCTAAGTCTCTTATCACAAAAAGCTGCGCCCAAATGTTGTCTGACCTGTGGCCAGCAGCCCAGGCAGAGTTAGGTTAGGGTAGGGGTGAATTCGTTGCGGCGACAGGTGCTAAGTGGCCAGTGAGGGCAACTAGTTCTGCGTCTAGGCGGGTCAGTCAATGAACTCTGCAGCAATTAGCACCCAGCAACAGCAGCAGCAGCTGGAAAAACCAAACCGAATCAGGCTTCATGCAAATGCACGAGCAGCAAACTTAAAGAAACGACCGGAAATCACAAAACAAAAAACCAAAACTAATATAATAACAGAGCGCGGCTTCAGGCTCCTCCAATGCCAAAAAAAAATTACAGTCTGAAATCCGACGGAATCGAAATCCAAAAGCAATTTTGATCAGACGAGAGAAAAATTAATCAGCCCAAATAAGCAAAAATAAGTCTAAAATCAAAATGCAGACGAACGGATATGAAACAGGAGATGAAGTGCCGCCCCACACACACACACACACACACACACACACACACACACACACTTACACAGCACATAACTGAATTGCGAACTGTACCCCCCCCGCCAAGCATAGACAGACTTTGCGTATATCCTGTGTACAGGCTGCATAGCGGAGCATTGCAACACGCCGTCTGTCGAGTTGCATAGGGTTTGGTAGGTTCGAGAGGTTCGATGTGGTTCGAAGGAAGGGACTGCAAGGACCTCAACACATATCTCAACTCGAACCGAACGGAGAGCTCAGCACAACTTACCGACTCTCCGATTCCCCGACTCCTCGACTGACTGACTGAATGACTGACGTATTACGGGAATAGTTTGCAGCTGTCGTCTGTTATTGCTTTATGGCCTTCTCGTTGAGCAGCACATGCCAAAATGGGTTTGGAGAGGGGGAGAGGGTATACGAACGGTTTTCCTAAACCATTGGAATTTCCGCTTTCCTGTGCTTCTGGGGTTCGTTGGACTCTTTTGGTTCTATGGGCTGATAAGAATTTTCAACAAAAAAAAAAACATTTAACGCAGTCACGTAAAAGGGGAATATAGACTAGATGGCACAGATGGGTACATAGCCAAAAGTCAATTCTCCAAGAGATACTGACGAACATTCTCAGGTCTGTATACCATGTAGATTTAAAGCTACGCCGCTACAGATACATTTTTATTCTATAACAATTTATAGTATTTTAAGTGGTTAAGAAATAATGTTTTTTTAAAGATGTTAAACTAGATGCAAGTAAAACTAACTAAATTTAAGTGCATGTCTCTTTATAATTGAAGCCTGGCATAACCCGGCTTTGCTTGGTCTAAGTATGCTTCGCTTTATTTCTTGAAATTAGTTGACTGATATTTCCAAATTTGTGTAAATTACTTTTTAATACAACGTTTGCAAATACTCAAATTAATTTTCGACCAGATGAACTTGGAATAGGAAAGATTTAAAAAAATTATGATCCAAATGTTGGGGGAAAGAAACTCGAGTATCAAATAAAATATATTCAGATAAAGACTAGCTAAAAACTGTAAGAAAATTATTTTAAAAAATATTTTTTAAATATTTTAGGGAATTAAGACTAGTTTAGTTCGAAATCTTTTAAAGCCTATAAAATATTTTATTTTCCATATCATGAAACACCCAAATTGAGTTCAGATAGATTCGTAAATAGAAATTCAGCTATCCAACTGCAAGGTAAAATTTTACAAGGAATTCAATTCAAATTGAGTATAATCAAGAGTTTAGTCGTTCCGCCTAATGTTCCGTAAGTTGGCTCCCAACTGGAGATCCACCCCAGAGTGTGCTGCGCCTTTTGGCCTAAGGCTAAGGAATTGGGTGCTCATTAAATCAACGAACTACCTGGTCGTTGCCTTTGGCCTGGCTTACCGGTTTTCGAATTTGGGATATGCGCTCACGTTTTTCAGCTATTTTAAGTAACAATAACAACAGCGAGAGAGAGAGAGAGAGCGAGAGAGAGAGAGAGAGAGAGTGGAACTACAAAAGCTGTGCCGGGACAGGCCACGAAAAACAAGAAGAGGAACCTTCAAAAAGAAAAAAATACACATATATATATATATATATAGATATATAAATGTGTATAAACGGCAAACAGCAGCCAGTCCAAGTACGAGACGCGAGTACATTCATAAGAGATATACACACAGCGCTGGGCCGAGGTTCAGCTTCGGATTCGGATTCAACTTCAGCTTCAGCTTCAGGTTTAGGTTCAGTTTCTGGTCCGATAGGTAGAACAAACTCGTCTGCCTAACAATCTCCGCTCGGAGCGTTCGTTGCGCTT